CAAGCCCTATCAAGAATAGATGGGAAAAATAATCGGTTCGCCAATGCCCTTGCGACCCTTGCTTCAATGGTTGATATTCCTTAAAAAATCACGACGTTGTCATTCTATATCAGGAACAAACATGATCCTTCCCCACTAAGGATCGAAGAAGAAATAGAGCAAGCAAATGAGAACGATAGAGAAGTGTCTCTCGTGGCTTCAATGCACTATTTAAGGCAAAAGTATGGTTCGATGATGTTTGTTCTGACTAAAGGATGGGTTATACCCTAAAGGAGCCACCAAAAGGATAAAGAAGCTATTCGAAGGTTTTCTATGGGATTCTTAGTAAAACGGGGTCTCTTGTTCAAAAAGTCCTTCGATGGCATCATTCTACGGTGTCTTGATCAGTTAGGAATCGATCAAGTACTGACAGAGTTAGACAATGAAGGAGGTCATTCTGGCGCAGTCGCCTTAGCTCAGAAAATCAGGCGTCAAGGCTATTACTGGACCACCATGCCTGAAGATTGTTGGAAGTTCGTAAAGAGATGTCCTAAATGTAAGCTTTATGGAGACCTCATCCATGCACCGTCTGTACCACTCCACTCAACACCGTCTGTATGGCTCTTTGCCATGTGGGGTCTTGATATCATTGGAATGATCTCATCGAAAGCCTTAAATGGCCACTATTTTATATTAATGGCTACAGAGTACTTTATCAAATGGGTAGAGGCTGCATCATTTGTCAAAATTGAGGGACGGCATGTTGCCAGTTTCATAAAGAACAATATTGTATTCAGGTTCGATGTTCCTGAGTCAATCATTACTGACAATGGATCCAATCTCAAAAGTGAAAAGGTATCTAAGGTGTGCAAAAAGTTTGGGATAACGCAGAAATTCTCCACACCTTACTACCCTCAAGGAAATGGACAAGCAGAGGCTACAAACAAAGGACTTCTCAGAATTATAGATAGAATAACAAAAAGGTGACAAAGATTGGCATGAAAAACTAAATGACGCACTATGGGCCTACTGGACAATTGAGAAGACTTCTATTGGCATGACCCTGTACTCATTGGTGTATGGTATGAAAGAAGTGTTACCCATTGAAGTTCAGATACTATCTCTCCAAGTGCTTATTCATAAAGATTCATATGAGGAACAAAAGATCGAAGCACGAATCGCTGCCCTCATTAATTTGGATGAAAGACGACTACGAGCAACACAAAATGTCTAAACTTACCAGCGTAGAATTGAGAGGGCCTACCAAAGTAAAGTGGTTCCTTTACAGTTCAGGGAAGGGGACATGGTACTCAAGAAAATCTTTCACATTCCTGCAAACCCACACCTTTTAGGCAGGTTCAAAACTAATTGGGAGGGGACATTCGTGATCACCGGAGTGCACGCAGGCAATTCTTAGAAGATCAAAAAGCATGAGGGGTGCGAGCTCAACGACCCCATCAATGCGGTTTGGGTCATTACATCCTTCTTTTCTTCAGAAGGCATAATGCCTAAGATAAAAGTAGGCCTTGGGTCAATTTCCTCTTCCAAATTTACTTATTCTAAGTCATATGCCATGACTTGGCCATTGTCTTCTAAGACTTCTGGGGCTTCGTATATCTCCTCTTCACCGAGGGGAGGTGGGTCGACAGTCAACCCTTGCGTTTCAAGCGCTTCGACTATCCACCCCCCAAGTGGTGTTTCTTCTTTTGTTTCTTCGGTCTTCAAACCCGTAGACTCTTGATTGATTCGAGCAACCTCTATCACCATTTGAGGTTCTCGAGAAGCGACTTCCTCATAAGTAAGTTCTCGAGGGGATGGTGGCACCTCTTGTGACATCGTCACATGAGAGATGTGGTTAGTGAAGAAGAGGCACGGGGGTAGGCTTAGCTGCCCCGAGTAACCAAGGCCTTCCTTTTGATTATGCTGAGACGTCATAGTTTCGATGACAACCAAGGGTGCTAGCATCCCCTTGCCATCATTCAACCCTTGGTTGTTGAACGACTTATAATCCATCTTTCTCATGGTTTGATTAGCTTCGGGACAGTACAAGTCCCATCTGGGTATGATTTCGGCATCTAGAAGAGGATTACTTGGACAGTTGTTTCCTGGGTTTCTTGGATTAAACCCGGTAAAGGAGCGGTAATGGATTTCAAGGTGGCAACCTCTTTCGTCTTAGATTTTCCTTTTCTTAAAGCCTCGTCTTGGTCAGGCAACTCTTGTGCCTGTTCCTTTGGCGCTACAATCAAGACTCGCCTTTGAGGCTCATATTGCTGATCAAAGGTGACAGTGAAATTGCGAACAGGAGAGGACGAACCACTTCTTGCTTCCTGACAGCCAATTCGAGCTTCCAACACGAAGATTGAAAAATACAGATTCTTTTGAGAGTCTCCCGTGTGGTAAACCTGGTTTGTGAGCTTGGCATCGTCTCCTTCCTTTCAAGGACTAGGATAGGCAGGACTTCAGGGATCTGTAGGACATTGGGGGAGTCTTGCCGATGTATAAGGAAGGAATGAAACCAATTTACACCGTCCTTTTCAATGTGCAGGACTTTAGGTATTTGTAATACCTTGAGCTGCTTTATGGAATAGTCGTCCTGAGGGGTGGAGGAAGCGTCATTCTCCCCCCTTAGGGAGACTGGAATGTGCAAAGCCCTCTGGTCGGCTTTCTATTTTCTTCAATCATGTGTGTCGTCTCAGCTTCGAGAAAGGGGATGGGGATATGTAACACCTTCATGCCATTATGAGCATGAGTAACTGTAGACATGCTCACTATAAGTTTCCACCGGTAGACATTCTCGTACAGAGGGAATAGATGGTGAGGTTTCCCCTTCGTTTTTCTTTCATGGCATGTGTTTTGGGGTTGTGGGGAAATTTCCATTAACCGATATCAAAGGGATTATTTTTCCATATCTCTTTTCTTCTTAGAAAATATGATTAAGCTATCCTGTCATGTCTTCCATGTCTTCATGAGAAGTTGGTGCAGTCTCTCTCAATTTTGGGTCCGCATTGATTTTCACAGGCAATGCCGGCTCTTAGAAGCGTATTGGATTTCGCAAAATAATATTTTGCATCAGCATGGTGTGACTCAGCAACGGGAAACGGCCTTTTATCAGCATAGACCGTGTGTTGCCTTCCATTCCGACTATATTTGAAACATTGATAAATTTTGGATGGAACCACATCATGATCATGTAGCCAAGGGCGGCCCAGTAGGATGAATAACATGGAATAATGTGGAGGCATCCAAATCCCCGATCTTAAGCTTAAGACAGATGGTACCAACCGGCTTTTCTCCGGACTGATTAAATCCTTGAACTGTTAGGCTTGTAGGCTAAAGCTGCTCCAGACTTAACCCAATCCGGGTAAGAATCCTTCGAGGCATAAGGTTCACTATTGATCCCCCATCTAGCATGATTTAGTTGACCTAACAGGCGTGCAGCTCACCAGTCATGAAAATAGGTCAATTGTGGATTTTCTCTCATAGTTGTAGGTCATCGTCTGAGAACGTGATGGCCATGCAAGTGTTGAGTATTCAAGGGTCTACCTCGACCCATTCGACTTCAGTTTCATATACTTTAGGGCTGGAGAGAGCCTATACCAGGGCCATTTGAAAGTCTTTAAACAACATCAGGGCATCATAGATACTCAGGAGAGTTGGCAGTTTCCTCAGGGTTTAGATGGGGCTGGCCTTTGGGTTGTTTTTAGCCTTCTTCTTGATCGCAACCATATTTGGTCAACCGGAGCTGTTGTACATCCTTGACGAAATACCAGCTGATGGCACGCCTCATATGTTGAAGGGCTCCCCTTTTTTGAGTTCCTTCGCTCAAGTTAGGTTCGAGAGGCCGCTGAGGCTCTATCATTGTTAGGCTTGGCGTTTGAAGGCCTTGGGGCCATCGTTCAAAACGGCCTTGGGGCCGTATGTCTTTCACTTACTCGTGATGGCCTTGGGGCTGCAGATTGGATGGAGTGTGTCCATCTTATTGTACTTCGATGACATAGCAATGAACAATGTCGTTGATTTCAAGTTCCTCCATGTTTTGCAATTAGTAGAACCGATTTTGTTGTAGTGGGCCCCTTGAGATTGAAGACTCTACTTCGGCCTTTCATAGCAAGACTTCCATCCTCTTTGTCTGTTTAATTTGCAAATTTCAGTAGACCTTCTCCCATAATTGGAACTGACTTTGACTCCCTTCTTGACTGGCTAGCTGTACGAAGATGAGGGCAAAGTCGATCAACTCCTGTAACGTATGACATCTAAGAAGAAGGGAGCTTGTAGATGACCTTGGAGGCCTAGGTTTGCCTTGAAAAGGGGGTTGCTAACTAGTCATCTTTGATGGTATCCTCTTGCCCTGAGCCCTGTTTTGAGGTTTCTATAAGGCCTAGGCTCTATGAAGACAAAATAAAGCCTCACATCAAATCGTCGTCCAAAACACCCAATAATAACAACAAAAATCGAAACTCATAAAATAATACAAATCTTGAATACTTATTTTTAAAACAAAATAGACAGTCTAGATAATTTATTACAATAACTATATTTTTAAAGCTTGAAACCTTTCTTTCTTTTTACAATCATAATGCAAAGGTTTTTTAAGGCTTGTTTTACTTTTATAGAGCTGAGGCTCTAAACAATCAAATTAGAGCCTACTTCAAAAAAATTCATTAGAAGAGGTTGTATTGATGCCCAACTATCATGAAATTGATCATCTCGATATCAAGATGCATAGACGATAAAGAAAGAAATTTTAAGTTTTAAAAATGATACATCTTGTAATGTATTTCTGAGCTGCTAAATTTCAAAATTTCATAGATACGCTCGACGTACGCTAATTTTGAAATATTACATTTTATAATTAAAAATAAAAATATATTTCTCGTCACGCGCTTTACTTTAATCGTTTCGGCTGTATGCAAGCCGCATCCGTAAGTATAAAAAAGGATCCACGTCTTTGAGATCATCGCTCAAAGCTCTGAAACTTTCACCCCCGCCAAATCGAAGGATCTCTCCCCTCCTCTCTGTCGGTCGATCTATATAGTTCATCTTCTTCTTCAAGGACTCATTAATGGCTATAAAGCTCCAGTCAGTGCTACTTCTTTTGATATTCATGCCATCTTTACTAAGTATGGCTCATGAAGAAACTAGCAATGGGAGCTCCTCCTCTGTGCACATCGTTTATATGGAGAGAACAGAGGGTGAACCAGAAGGTCTGCACCTCAAAACCCTTGCCTCGATATTTGGAAGGTGGGTCTTTAATGCTGTATTTTTGGGATTTTGCAAACGTGCTTTTGCTGGAACTCGAGGATTTCCACTTATTTAGTGTTTTGTTTTCTTTTCTTTTTTTCTTGGGGAGAATAATCTGGTGAAATTCATTGGTTTTACAGTGAAGAGGCTGCGAAAGATGCCATAATTTATACTTACAAGAATACAATCAATGGGTTCTCTGCGAGGTTGACCCCACAACAAGTTGCAGAGCTCAAGAGTATGTAATCTATAGAATTGTTCTTTTTTCTTGAGATGGGGTGTTTCTTTTCTTTGGTTATTGGTATTATTATTATTATTACTTTGTCATAAGGAAGCTTTTAGTTTCACTATACATATTTTCATGTGGCATCTGGGTTATTATGATCAGGAAATCCTCTCTCTCTCTCTCTCTCTCTCTCTCTCTCTCACACACACACACACACACATTGGGTTACCTTGATGATAATTGGGGAGTTTTTAGGTGAAATTGTAAGAAAAGGATTTAGAATTTCTATTATGTAGGCATTTTGATTCTTCATGCAATAGATATAGTCTTGAGCATATATCTTTTTTGGGTAACATGCTTGATCTCTGCATTGAAACCTCTTTCGTGGTTAGTTTGTGAATTGGAACTCTATATCTACTCTGTTTCCTTATTCTAGTTTTTGTGAAAAGGCTTGGACACAAATTCCTGGCTTTGAATCAGGCTTCGAATCTTATAATCTTCTGCTTTTCTGCTTGTACACTCCTTTATATTCTATCTTTAGTTTATTGTGACATTTTTCCATTTCAAAGGCCTTGATAGCTTTTACTTAACCAAAAAGGAGGTGTTGATAGCTTTCATTTATTAGCTCAAGAATATATTGTGGATTTTCTCGAAATTATTTCAATTCTAGTTCCTCCCATCTACAATTGCGAATGAGAAAGAACTGGAGCTCATGTGATCAAAGACTTTTTCTATTCACTTGGTCAGCCCATCCTATTCTTGTCTGGAAACGGAATGATCTACTCAGCCTTGTACCTAGAGTTTACACTTTGCTATGAGAACTTCATGAAACCTTGATTGCATAATTCAAGTGAATGATGTTAGATGCCCTTGTCAAAATTTGGTTAAATTCTCAATAGGTACTTTGTGAAAAATTTGTTCCAGGTGTATGCCTTCATTTCTCTTCCATTTTCGAGTAACAAATTTGAGTCCTCCGAAGATAGAAAATTATGATGCTTTCTGAATGACATTCATTGTTTTAAGAATGTTGTTCCAAAAGAAGAACCTTGGTTACTTTAATTTGGTTTAAATTACAAACCCATTTAGACCATACCCTTCAAGATTCAATTCTGGATTCTTAAACCAAATCAAACAAGAAGGGAAAGAAGTTGAAAAATGGTTATTCCACATTTTGGTAATGATAAAATTACTGGCAGAGAATGATCCGTTCAAGATTCTTATAAGGAGCTGCATTTTCACCTGAAAGATGCATTGTTCTTCCTTAATAGTAATCACATGGAATTGAAGAATTTCATTTACTCCGAGTTATTCGGTAATATTCACTGGAATTAATGTGAGGGAGTTTATTTATTCCATTACTTTGTACCTTCTTGAAATTATAAGGGTGTGCATTCCTTCCTTGGCTTTGGAGGACTTGTCGGCTGATCCCTTGTCTTTTTCTCTACCAAACGGTTATTAAGGCAAATTTCATTGTACTGTTGATAGCTGGGATTCTTCCTTGATTGTTGCCTATATTGAATTAACGTGTTCAGAGACTTGAGATTCTAGTCATGACTGTGCCAACTGATACTTGCTTCATTGCATGACTCTGATCATTTGTTTATGGAGTTGAGTTCATCATTTGTATTAATTCCCACCAAGAAACCATTTTCCCCAAATAAATAAGAAGTTTCTTAACATAAGGATTAGATAATTAAAGAAATGAGGATTTGAACTGCAGAGTCACTGTGTTCTACTTTCCACAGTGGTTTAAACAAATCTAGAAAGGAATGTTTAATATAAGACATTTTTAGGTACATTGTGGTGCCAGAAATGATGTTTTGTCATTGAAGTAAAAAGTGGCATGCATCATTAAGCACTCTTGAAGGGTTCATAACTCTCTCTGTCAAAGATTTGGAATTTTGGGCAGCATCAAGCAATCTAACACATCAATTGGTGTGTGCAAATAATGATTTGATCATAGTTGATAGTTCTGATTGCCTGTGTTAAATTTCTGTTTTTCTTTCTTGGCATTTCGTTAGCTTGAGGTATGTGTGGTTTGCTTCTTTGATGCATTACTCCTCTCCTCAGAAATTTCAAAATTGTCGTGATAGACGCATATTCCTACAAGGCTCTGTACTTTTGTTTTTCCTGAATTTAAAACTTTCTTCAACTTTCAAATCTTTGAATGCTTTGAGATTTATACCAATGGTCAAAAACAACGGTAAGACTCGGAACTCAGCAAGGTCCTGAGTCTGAGTTGTCCTTATAGACTAGGACAACTCTGGACAAGTAATGATAATAAAATATAGGAAGTAGCCGAGTTTGGCATGTTCCTTATGGACACCGAATACTGCTAAATCTGTGTAACTAGGATGAGTCAGAGTGGACACTCCAGAGTTTGAGAAGACTGGTTTATACTGCCAAGTAACATAATTATATCCAGAGGCATCATCTGTGATTCTGTGAAGCTCTCTTTGATATTGTTTTATTTTATTATTTTTGTCTCTTCTGCTCGATATATAGATTTTTCTTTACCCCTTGATCTGAGAAGGGCTTTCTTTACATCTAATGAAGGCCCATTGTTCACTCCATGGATTAATAATCTTACCAAATTTAAGAATCAACCCTGAATTCAATGTCAATGAGTAATGTGATTTAGTCTCAAATGTTTTAAATTATAAGAATCAAAACCAATAGCATATAAAATTGCTTTTGAATTTCTGTTTAATAGATCCTTCATAGAGTTTGCTTCTACATTAACACCATTTCCTGTAGAAGTCTACATACTATACCTTTATTAGCATTAAATAATCATGAGTCACTCTTAGTCCTCCATTTGGGTACCAGCTTTTGGGTCCATATTACTACTTAGCTTTATCTGCCAGAATAATGGCAAGACAAAAAATGGGAAGCGACCAAGAAAAACCAAACATATGTCAGTTAGATTTTGGTGTCTATATGGTTTTTACGGGTTTTTCGTTTACTTTGCAAATTTTGCTGTAGTAAGTTGAAACTAATAGTTTCTCAGATTGGAGTTTTGCAAATTGCATGAATGCTTTTAGTTGTTACTTGTTACCGAGTTATATAACTCTCTCTCTCTCTCT